GTGTTATTATTTTTTGGATATGTTGCTGGAGTCTATTGGCTAGGATTTTGTTGAAGATTTTTGCATCCATATTCATGAGGGGTATTAATCTGTGTTGTTATGTGCCATCAAGTCGGACCTGACTCATAGCGACCCCTTCTTGGGTTTCCGAGGCATTATCACTATGGAAGTAGATTGTCCCATCTTCCTTTCGAGGAGTGGCCAGTGGGTCTGAACCGCCTTCTGGTTAGCAGTCAAGTGCCTTAGGCACTATGGAGGATTCCATCCTTTTCTATGTTCTGGAATAGTTTTGAAGATTAGTGTCAGTTCTTCTCTGAACATTTGGTAGAATTCTCCAGTGAAACCATCTGGGCCAGGAACATTTTTGTTGGTAATTTTTTTATGACCTGTTCAATTTATTTTGTTATGAATCTGTTCAACTTTTCCACTTCAGACTGTGTTAGTTTAGGTACGTAATGTGTTTCTAGAAATCTGTCCATTTGTTCTAGTTTTCAAATTTGTTGGAGTACAGCTCTTCACAGTATCCTGATACTATCTTTTTTATTTCAGGTAGTTCTGTTGTGATGTCACCCAATTCACTTTTCATTCATGTTATTTGTATTCTCTCCCTCTTTTCCTTTGTTAAATTTGCCAGTGGTTTAGAATAATGTCTTGATACAAAACCAATAAATGTTAACTTTTGTCATTACAGATATCTTACATTGTCATTTACACAATTCATTCAATATTTATTGAGCCACTAGGAATACGGTCCAACAGAGACCAAACTTTCAAATAGCCTTGCTTTCATGGAGACTATGATCTGGAACAATTAAATTATTGAGTGTATTGATTAGAAAGTCATAAAGACTATATAAATAAAGAACAGAATCGGGTGTAGAGCACTGGGAATATATGGAGGGATTAGGAAGGTGCAGTTTTTAAAAACGTGACATTTGAATAAAGACTTGAAGAAATTAGTCATTCAGGTATCTAGGAAAGAGCATTCCAGGGAGAGAAAGCAGTGCAAAAGCCCAGAATGGGGGAATAATAAGGTTAATGAGCCTGAAGCAGAGTCAGGCAGCTAAGGTTATGGATGACCTGCTGGAGGGCCAGATCATGTAGGGAAAAAAAGGAGCTAATGAATGGTCTATGTAATATGATTGACATTTAAAAATAATCATTCCAGCTGCTGTGTTGGAAAAAGATTGTCAGTTAAGGGCAGAAGCAGGCAGATGAATTAGAAGGCTGTTGGAGTAATCCAGGTGGGAGGCCATGGTACACTAGACCAGTTACCACAGCATAGATGGTGAGTGGTTGGATGGGAGATAAACTCAGATAGTAGATAAATTGGAGATGAGGTATAAGCAGAGTCAAAATTTTAGGTCTAACAACCAGAACACTGAGGTGTGCATAAATCAAGATGAGGAAGACTATGAGGCTAGCAGGTTTGAGGGACTAGAAATGAGTTCAGTTGTGGACAAGCTGCATGTTAACATTCAGATGTTTGTGGGCCACCTAAGTGTAAATGTAGCTAGGTAACCCTGATTCTGGTCAGGAGAGAGACATGGGCTAGTTTGTATATTTGGGTGGCATCATCATGGCATTTAAAGCCACAAGGAAGGGTGAGATCTAAGTGTTTATCTTACTTGACCTTTCAGCAGTATATAATATAGTTGTGATAGTATAGACAAAGGACCCAAGACTGAGCCCCAAGGCCCAGGTGATAGAAGAGAGGATTTAGCAAAAGAAAGTGGGGATGTGCAACCAATGAGTATTTTTGGCTATATTTTGAAGGCAGAACTAAGAGAATTTGCTGATTAAATGGATGTGGTGTGTGAGACAAAGTCTGTGTTCATATCCTGGCTTACCAGCTGTGTGTACTTAATCTGTGTACCTGTTTCCTCATCTGTAAAAGAATGATACTACTACTACTACACTGTGTCATAGGATTGCTGTAGTTTAAATGAAAATGTGCATGTGTGAACACGCATGCATGTGTGTAACGTAGACTCATGCCTGGCACATAAGTGCTTCATAAATGTTAGTTGTTATGGTTTTCACTCCTCCTTCTCTTTGCTACTTCTCTAAGGCATTTTGTTTAAGTAATTAGAAGGATAGAGCTCCCATTTATGAGATGAAGACGGGAGGAGGAGAAGTGGCTGTTTAATGTTTGTTTTGTTTTGTTTGCAGTGGGGTGGGGGGAGATGAGTTCAATTTTAGGCCGATTCAGTTTGAGATGCCTATAAGATGTCCAAGTGGAAATATCTAATAGGCAGTTGAATAGTATGTATTTTTTGGGAAAGGTCTCAGCTGGAAATACCAATTTTGGAGCTGTCAGTACAGAAATTTTACATCATTAAAGTGGATAAGATTACCAAAGGAGCTAGTAAAGCTAAGAAAACAGAGCCAAGGACTGAGGTCACTCTACCCACCGTTTTGAAGTTGGAGATACAAAAGTGAACCAAAAGAGACTTAACAGGGCAGTTTGTGGGGTGTCTCAGTTCTCTACTGCTGCTCTACAAGAAACGCTACAAATGGACGGCTTAACAAACAGAATTTATTCCCAAATTGTTTAGGAGACTAGAAGTCCAAATTCAGAGTACTGGCTCCAGGGGTTGAGTGAAGGTCCCTCGACCCTGGGTCTTAGGTCTGCCTCTTATTCCAGGCCCACTGGAGCTAAAGGCATCTCCTAACTCAGGTAGTGGCTGGCTGCTGAGGCTGACAAAACCAAGGTCAGCAGGTAAAATGTCACAGTCCCAAGATTAGTGGGCAACAAGGCAGGCCTCTGGTGACTTGACCAAATGAAAGATCCAGATGTGTCAAAAAGCTAGAGACAATCCTCAAAACTTCCCCATATATACTGAAGTAGGTCACACCCCAAAAGGCAGCTAATTAGCTGCTCACAGCAGATTTCACTATGAAGTTATTAACATCACATCCAGTTTTATCATGGGGAATAACTGCACCCAGCTGCCAAGCTACTCAAAGTCCCAGTCCAGCCAAGTTGGCACACAACCTTAACTACCACCAGGGTTAACAAAACACTAGGTGTGCTATCCTGGAATCCAAGTGAAGAAAGTAAGAAAGTAGGAGTCATCAACTATATTATATACTGCTGAAAGGTCAAGTAAGATAAACACTTAAATTTTTCAACTGAATTTAACACAAGCTCCGGTGGTGTAGAACCTAAGGTATTTGACTGCTAATCATGAAGGCTTGTGGTTCAATCCCACCAGCCAAACTCAGAAGGGAGACTGGGCAATCTACTTCCTTAGAGATACTGCCTTGGAAATCCAAGGAAGGGTCGCTATGAGTCACTATCGACTTGACAGTAGTGAGTTTGGTGTTTTGGTTTTTGGACATAACTGGTGACCTTGTCTAACAGTTTTGGTAGGATGCTGAAGTGGGTTAAAGAGTGAATGGAAGGAGATAAAGACACAGAGACAATTCTTTTGAGTTGTAAACGGAGTAGAGAAATAAAGGTGGTAACTACAGCACATTTGCCACTGATGGGAATGATGCAGAGGGGAAAAACTGATGCTGCAGGAGAGTGGTGAACTGCTTACTCACTGGAATGCAGGGTACAAGTGGAGGGATTGGTATTAGGAGTGCAGAGTTCATCTGTAGAAACTGGCAGAAAGGCAGAGCACAGGACTGCAGATGGTGCTTAGACATGATAATGGTAACTTATGGCAACTATTAATATAACCAATAAATACTTACTGTTCACTTACTATACTCTGTGTCAGACATTACTCTAGGTATATATTGGAGAATGTCTGGTCTCATGCAGCTATCAAATCTAGGAATAAGACAGCAATATCAAATACAAAGGCCATGTGATAGATTTAAGGATGAGAGTGTGGCTGGAGTGGAGGTGTTGGGAAAATATGATCAAATTTGTATTTTAAATGGCTGCTTAGAGACTAATCAGTTACAGCAAGTGATCAGAATGCTGATGTTTCTACTCCATTGGATAATTTTGGTCAGTAAACATTAACATAACATTGTTATCAATATATAAAAATCAACAATATTCCAACTATTGCCCATAAACTGAAGACCGATTCAGTCTTCTATAAATTATTACAATAAAACAATGGATTATAGGATTTAAATCTGAAATCGCATTTTCCCTCACAAAATGATTCATAGTTAAACTCTTGTTTAATATGCCGGTCTGTTTTAAAATTAGTCCTAATAAGACCATGAGCCCAGAAGTAGAATAAAGCTCTAGGAAAAATCAAGTACGACTAATAATCTTTAATGGAAAAACTAATAATCTTTAATGAGAAAAACATATAAAGCTTTAAGTGAAGACTTAGATTGTGAAAGGACATAAATATAAGGATTGTCTCTATGAGTGGACTTAACCGAGTAATATATGTCTCATATTTTGTCCTGTAGTTTTTGTACTTGAAAAGCGCTAGTTCAAATAATGTATAACTGGGCTATTTAACCTTGATCTACTCTACTCTATAAATCTGCTCCCACAGATCACTGAGAAGCCACTTCCACCTCTCCCTAAATTCTCAGCAGAATCCTACGGACATGAGGATTATTCTAAAGGGACACCGAATTGTCTCATAGGCTCCAAGGCTGTCCTGGAGCATTCTTTATGTTTCTGAGTTTTTATGAGCATATTAGGTCAGACTAGGCCTAAAAGGAGACAGGAAACAAACTAAAGACAAATGGCCTCTACTTAATTACCTCTAAAACTTTTAATGGGCAACAGAGGGGAAAATACCAATTACAGGTTAAAATAAAAAGCTGGACATAGGATTTTTAAAAAGTAGTGGGATGACCTTTTCTTGTGGCTAAGAACTTTATCTGGGCAACTACATCAAGGAAATTCACCTTTCCCCCTCCCTCCTACCCCTGGCAACCACTAACAATCTGTTTCCCTCTAAAGACTGTATTTTACCATACCACTTTCCTCAAGTCCCTAGTGCATCTCTCTCTTTTTTAAAGAAATACGTTTTAGCTTCCTAAGGAAGACACCTAACCAACCAGAACTATTTTGCCCAACCTTTTTAACCTTTAAAAACGTCATGTATACAAATTGACAAATAGATCAATATAGAGTCACAAGATCCAATTTCAGTATTTTAGGCATTTTTATTTAATAAATAACTTCAGTAAATAGCATTGTAAAAAGTGAACTGTTAAAATTAAAAGGCACTTAAAACAAGAATGTGGCTAGTATGAAACAAAACGGGCAACTCAGACAGTGAGAGGTACATATACAGTGGTCTGTTAGGGCACTAATTAAAAGGAAAACTTGCTTAAGTGATAGCTGTTGCATCAGCTACAGTACGTGTCACATGTTCATTAAAAAGGCAAATTTACAGCTAAAATTTCAAACAAAAGATATTGATAAAAAAAAGGTTTTACCCCAAAATTGCAACAAATACATTAAAAGATTAGAAGAGGTGATAAAAAAGCACCAGGCTTTGAACAAAATAAAAAGAACAGAATAAAATAAATTTAACCAGAAAGGTCCCCATTCAGCAAATACTACAAAAATTAAGGCCTTTATGTAAATTATGTAAATAATGCTAAATCAAGGACTTTAATTTGCAGAATATTTCCCAGTACTTTTACCCAAGGCTTGAATTTATAAGGAGAAGGCATAAAAGTTACCAAGATCAAGTAACTCTTAAAATGGCACACAGGTTTTAAAGCTATTTATTTTTCCTTCCTAACTCTCTGAATTCTTCCCATGGCCTTTGCATATCAAACATTTCATAACTATTATATATTTGTAACTCCCAACATACTCAACTTACAGATATGTCATCAGTCATGTGCGAAAGGCAAATGGCAAAATAACAAACTTAAAGCAAGTCTAAACTGTTCCAGAACACTGACTTTGGATTCCATGTAACTGAAAAACTCAAGTCCTGACATATCTGGAAAGTTAGAAATCAAATTTAATACCTGATTAATAAAACTGTCAACATGCTTATTCCTTTACCTATTGCCCTTTCACTCACTTTAGCAATATCACTTAAGCCAATGAAAGCTTGATTTCAATAGTCCAGGAGGAAAAGGTCAAAAAGGCACAACGTGACCTTTGCTGACAAGGATAACCATCCTGTCTCAAGTCTTCTGTCAGTCCCTGGCATTGATTATAACATTATTTTCAAAATAATAAAAATAAACCAATTATACATAATATACATTTTCAAAACCTGCACATGAGTAAAACCATGGCAATATTACCCTACAGCTACCTTATTGTGACTATGAAAATTTCTACTTTGCATTCAGTGTTGTGAAATTTGCACAAGCAGTGCTCATTTTCCCTCATACTTCGGATTGACAACAGTTGTCACGGCACTCTTATAAATAGGATTTTCACCCTAAAAAAACAAAGTGAGACAAATGATCAGTTACTTTACTCAAATCATGTCATTATGATTTTGTAAATCACTATAAGAAAGATGCATTCATTGTTATGAAGGAGTTTCCATTTTATGTCCATGTACTACACTCAATTAAAAAAGGCATTGATGAAGGCTTACACTACAACAAGAGAAGAAGCGTTGCTCTACAAGTCTAATGAAAACATGCCCTTACAATCTGGTACTATTTCCTTGTGAGTCCTTCCTGCACTGAGGAGTTGATTTAAGAATGTCCTCCACAGGAGCAAGTAGCTAGACCTATGGGCTCGGGACCATGGTCACAGGGGACATTAAGCTCCACTGGCATAACATACTACACAAAAACATTGTTCCACATCCTACTTTGGTGAGTAGCAACTGGGATTTTAAAAACTTGCAAGCAGCCATCTAGATGCAACGATGGGTCTCTCCTCAGCCAGAGCAAAGAAAAATGAAGAAAACAAAAGATGCATGGAAACAATTAGTCCAAGGGACTAGTACACCATGGGATCCTCAGCCTATGAGACCAGATGAACTAGACGGTACCCAGCTACCACTATCAACCACTCGGAGGGGTATCTATGTAGGAGATCCTGGATAAAGTGGGAGAACAATGTGGAACAAAACTCAAAATCATAAATAAAAAAACAGGTTTGCTGGCCTGATAGAGCCTGGTAGAACCCCTTTCTTGTGCACAGAAAGTGGATGATAATTAAAGGGAATCCTTGGCTTCCATCTCTGTATGGGAGGTGTTCTCCTGGGGCTCTTCCACAGAAGTTATTGATTTAGAATGTTCTAGGGGAAGGTTGACTTAATGTCACCAGGGGCACTGTTACTGCACTAACAAATTACACGGACAAACTTGCTTAGCATATTAAGTAATTACCATTCTTGAGATAATTACTATTCATCAATACCATATTGGTGAGACATTTTATTTTTATTGTAGTACTATACCTTAGTAAAGAGTACTCAAATCAAGCCCAGTAAAAGACTGTAAGCTATAAACATGAGAGGTGTCTCAAGATCCAAAGTTATACTGGCAGTGATGTTTTAAGCAGTATCATTTTAAGCACTATCACTTCCTTAAAATGTTCTCTTATACTAAGTGCTTAAATATCTGCTAAAACATTTTTTTTTCTCCTTCTTATAAACTAAAAGTAGGCTTGGAAGCCAAGTGACAAATGTAGCCAAATCATCTTTTACCACAGGAAATTACAGTAAGTACCAATTAATAACATATTTAACTATCAGGACATTAAGATATGATTTTGATATCTTAATATGTTTAGTTGTATATCTCATCATAAAACCATTTGCAAGTGATTTTTTAAAATATACCTATTATATCTTGCTTTTGACTTGTTTTTAGGGTTTACTCACTCTTCAGTATAGATTATATTTATTGGAATCTGGCTTCTGTTGCCAAAATTTCTGACCTCAAGGCAGATATAGTTTGGTAGATGACAGACATGAAAATAAATTAAGGTACTCTGATCTTGTAAGGAGCTCGGGTGGTGTAGTGCCTAAGGCATCTGACTGCTAACTAGAAGGTTGGTGGTTCAAACCCACCAGCTGCTCTGCAGAAGGAAGATGGGGCAATCTACTTCCATAAAGATTTAGCACCTCAGAAACCCAATGGGGGTCGCTGTGAGTCAGAACCAACTCAATGGCAATGGTTTGGTTTTTTGGTTTGGATACTGTGAAAAATAGAATTATGTATATATAATATGGGAATAGTATAAGAGAAAAATAATTGAGAAGAGTAAGGATGTTTTCACAAGCGAAACTGAGTATGGATAAACTACTGAAAGATGAATAGGAATGTATGCAAAGTCAAGGTGTAGGGAAAAGTTGATACCTTTATGAAGAACTACGTATTTGCCAGTTTGTCAGAAGTTTTTAAATGTGGGTTTTTGAGTATGTGTTTCTAGGTTGAGGAACAGAGAGAAGATAAGAAAGAAAGGCTGTATAACACACTAAAAAGTTCAAATTTTATTCTGTAATTAGAAAATCACTGTGGGAAATATAATATAAAATCCTGAGTCCTGAAAGATACCAAATAAACCACTGTGATTTCAGTTCAACAGTTACTTTGAATGTGAATTACAACATGATAGTACACCCTTATGTGCCCCTGGAAAAACAAAACAAAACAAATTGGTCATTTCAGAAGCACAGAGAAACTTAGGATCCCTCAGAGACAAACTCTATATAGCCTAGATGATAAAATTGTTAAGAATATCACATTCTAAGCTCTAATTCCAACTGGAGTTAATACATTACTATAACCCCACTCCTCACTTATCAACATGGATAGGTGCCAAATACCAGGTCACTATGTGAAAATCAGCATTACTTGAAAATGGAGGATGGCTACATAATTGCACAACCGCCAAATTACATCACCACCACCAAAACACTGAGAATCATGGCCCAGCCAAGTTGACACATAACTCTAACCATTACAGCTAGTGTTACTTGTCTCACACCGTGGTGTTCATTACTGCCAGATACACATTGATAATGTGCAAAAGAGTTGGATGGTAGATTTTTTTTACTACTGTCATGAATATAAAATGTTGGCTGAGATAGTTGTTAAGTGAGGATAGGAATATAGGTATTTCAGAATGAAAATGAGGAAACTGGATCCTAGCAATTATATTCTTAAGAAATTATGTGGCAGAAATAACTTATATTCTGCTATCTGCATATGAAAGGAGCCCTGGTTGCACAGTGGTTTAAGTGCCTGATTGCTAATTGAAAAGGCAACGGTTTGGATCCACCAGCACTCTATGGAAAAAAGATGTGACAGTCTGCTTCCACAGAGACTGCCTTGGAAGCCCTAAGGGGCAATTTTACTCTGTCTCTAGGGTTGTTATGAGGCAGCAATGAGTTTGGTTTCGTTTATCTGCATATGAAGCTAGAATATCCCATTCTTTCAAACATGTTTGGAAAAGATACTGTTTCGTTAAGTTTCTTTTAAAAAAATAATTAGTATCTAATAAATGAATAATCAAAAATTGTTAGAGAGGGGCAAAAAAAAAAAGAAACCAAGCAAAATTCCTTATGTTAATCCAAAGTATAATTCATATGGAAGAACTTACCTTTGGAGAAAATGTTGCCTTTTCATTTACACACTTGTATTTATTATTTCAAAGTCAATCCAAACAAAAACTTAACATGCAAGGTTAGAGGTAAAATTAAACTATCTGCATTAGGCATCATTTTAAATGGAAGAAAACTGCAGTGTTTCAGATTAGTTTCCATTGTTCACAATGCAAACACCCTCACCCACTCCAACAAAACACAAAGCTTATTTAAATCAAGAGAGCAAGGTTATATTCTGAAATGAAGCCCTTTGTACTCAATAAGATGTCATCCTTGTGTTCACTCTGGACTGGGCTAACAGTGGTGGCTATGGAATCATCCTTTGAGGCATTATATATGAAAAACACAATTGTAGGAATAGATGAATCCACATTTAAATGTACAAAGCAGCAGAGGACAGAGTAGACCTTCTTTTCATCTCACTTTAAGAGTTATAAATTGATAATGTGATTTTTTTTTTTAAGTGTACGTACGTGGTAGTCTTTTGTCCTGAAATTATTACAGTGCCTGCTCATTATTCCAAATCTATTAATGATATAACTAATTGACTGGCAAACCATGGTCCCTTATCAGAAAAGTGCTTTACAATCCATCACTGGTTTTCTTATCTTGATGCTTATTCTTTAATTTCTACTTTAATTGCTCTTGGGAAGACAGCTCTTTGAATATTCTGTAGCTGTTCATTTATCTGTATTTGACTAGGAGCTCTGGCAGCATAGTGCCTAAGGCATTTGACTGCTAACCAGGAGGCGGCCATTCGAACCCACCAGCCACTCCTTGGAAGGAAGATGGGGCAATCTACTTCCGTAGCAATACTGCCTTGGAAACCCAAGGAGGGTTCACTATGAGTCGGAATCGACTCAACAGCACTGAGTTTGGTGGGTTTGTTTTACTAATGAATAGACGCTTCTACCAAACTTTTGCTTCTTAAATTACATACAATGTTTTTAGCTGAAGTAATAATATTTTAGCAAAAAACTAAGTTAACAGTGTAAATATTAAATTTTTGATACTAATTATTTATTGATAATTTCCTTCAAAGAATCACTAAATGTACAGGCAGGAGTGCACATTTCATTAGGACAAATAAGTAAACATTTTTCTCATATGAGAAAGAACCATATGAAATTGCCATTATTTGTTTATGATCTGAAAAAATAAAAAAAAACAGCAATTTCATTGTAAAGTGATTATTTTCCTCTAAAAATGATTCATACATGAGAAAACAAAGCATGTGTTAAATCTAAAATTAATGAAAAAATTTATTAAGTTGGCCATATATGAACCTGACTATTAGCTATCTGCTGACTATACCTGTCTGCCATCAAATATAACTTTGCTCTTTAAAATATCTCAAAATCTTCTAAAAAATAAAAGAAAAATCTGACCAGTAATAGTTCAAAGGTTATCAGTACTTCCTATATGCCTTCAAAATATGAAAGGCTCCTTTATTCCTCCTATTCATTTCTCATTTGATAACTATACTTCCAATAGAACTTAACTGTACTGTTCAGTTTTATGTAATAAAATCATTTCCCCCTTATAATGTCTGCCCTTAACAGTAATGTCACTCTCACCAAGTTTCAACAAATGCCAAAAAAAATTGTAATTCTCTGTAAAAAGTGATCTGCCTATTCCTAAGCATGCTACAGAGGTCTCCTAAGGATACATGACCATTACTACTGTACAACGCAGTGGATAAGGACATGGACTCTGGAGCCTGGGTTTGGATCTCAGCTCTCCCACAAACTAGCCATGTGAACTTGGTCAGGTTACCTGACCTCTCTGGGCCCCAGTTTTCTCACAAGTGAACTATTATCACTATAAGAATATTTAAATATAGGTAAAATGTTTAAAGCTGTGCCTGAGACACAGTGAGTACTGTATGTCTTAGCTACTGTTGCTATTACAATTATTATCACCAACATCATTGTCTGCACAGTAAGATGGGAAGTAAGAAAAATGGAATCATACAGACTCAATACATCCAATCAATCAGCTGAGAATAAAGAGTTATGGAGAATGGTTCTAATCACAATTGATGTTTTTATCAAAGAGTTCTGGTGCTTAATGTGATTTATATTAAAATATGTTAGAAGCATTTCATGTCACCCAGGTGTTCACCAAAATAACTCCCTAGTTTAGAGAACAGAATAAGCAAGCCTATTACAACTGTGAAATTATCAACTAGGTTTTTATAACTGTAAACTGTAATTAGGACTTTTTAAAGTCTTTGTCACTTCAAAAAAAAAAAAAAAGTTCAACCTTAAATCTGAGTATTAGAATCATTCAATAACTAATATGAAATATGACATAAAGGAATCAAAGCTCTGCTGGCTTTTAACTGAATTTCAAGTTATAATAAAAAACTAAAGGATCCCAAAACCTTTATAAACTAATAATAATGATATTGTAGTTGTACATTATACAAATACTATATATAGTAGGTTACATTTATTCCTATTTTGCAAGTTTGGCTTTCACGTGCAATTTTCACTTTTCAACCCTAAAATGTACATATAGTGTAATAGGGATAATACCATCTACAGCACACAATAGTGAGGATTATGGCTGACAGACTGATTCCATATACTGTAGTTCATTTGCCAAAAGCAACTATCCTGTACAATCGTAGCTACTGACTCCATGGTATAGATGTGACAAATTGAAGCAGGGAAGTGAAGTGGCTCCATGCATTCTACTTACTAACTGGAAGAGTGGGGATGTGGCTCTGGGTCTGTCTCACCTCAACACTTCTTTTTATTACACAACAGTTACTGCCATATAACTTACTTTAAATCCCTTCTAAACACTAACTCTAAATTAATACCCCAAAACAGAAGCCACAATATTGCCATATAAATAAAGCCAGGTTTTTTAAAAATAGCAATAGTGATAAAGGACACACAGTGCAGTAAAAAAGGGTAAAAGTACACATGCAAAGACAGAAATGAAAGGAAATACGAACGGCGACTTAGAGACCAGCTTTACGTCCATAGTTTGGATTCTTGAAATTATTAATAGGACTCTTGTAAATCGGATTTTCTTGCTAAAGTAAAAGAAATAGTTTCTAATGATTTCATCAGAAAGAAAATTGACATTTATAGTGTTTAAACACTATAAAAGACAGTTCTTACTACTTCTACACTTATGAAATTCATTATTAAAAAACAAAGAAAAACCCAAGCTAACTGTATGAAATGCAAATGACTAAAATTCATTTAGGATAGAACATGCTGATGACTATCACTGCTTTCTGGTGTCAAAGGATGAACACAGGAAAGTCAACACTTGGCCACCCCACCTTCTGACGTCACATTTCAAAGTCTATTTACAGTGGCACAAAGTGCTAGCACAAACTTGCAGTCTTTTTAGGCTCATTTTAAAATTTTTATCAAAGAAGCTCTGTTGAGAAATAATTTATGTAAAGTAAAATACTGTTTTTAAGTAGAGAATGTGATAAGCTTTCAAATGTGCAAATACTCTCTTAATCAAGACTATCCCAGAAAGATCCTTCCTGATCCTTTGGAGTCAACTCTTACCCTGACTCCCAGGGGCAACCACTGATCTGATTCCCGCCCCTCCAGTTTTGCCTCTTCAATAGTGTCATAAATATGGAATCATACAGTAGGTATTCTAAGTCTGGCTGCTTTCCACTCCAGTTCTCTGTTAATCAAAGAGAAGCTTTCCACTGAGGATCTTGCTACATAGATAGTATTATTTAGGATTGTATTTAGATGAAAAGGCAGAAGAACAGATTTAGGACTAAAACTATTAAGGAAATAAAAAATATTTGCCACAGTAACCAGAAGATACATTCTTATAATGTGTATAATGTCTTATAATGTGTATAAAACTTTTTGTTTCAACAGGATATATTTAATACAGTTCTGTTTTAGACTAAATGTTAAGCTCTCTAAACAATGAACTTTTAGGGGAATAAAATACTTAAAAAGGACTTTAATAATCAGTTTAGGAGTCACCGAATGGTTATATTTACTTTGTGAACCACCTTACTTTTTAGATGTTTCACAACTTACCGTGTCCCATTTGGCATTCATTTTTTCCTTTTCAAATTTAGCAAATTCCCTCCTGTCATGAATTATCATTAAAAGCTTCCAAATAAGCAGCAATGCAAGGCCAATGAGAACAATTCCAGCAACAACGCCAGCTACAATTGGAATTATGTCTGGACCAGTAGGACATTCTGGAGAATAAATAGGAAAGATTAAGCTCATAGGGACTAATACGAGAAAAGCATGGCCATAACCCAAAGAGATGGGCAGTGCCTCATAAGAAATCTATAGGAATAAAAATCCAAGCTATGTGAATGTAGACAATCCCAAAAATCTATTTTAAAAAAAAAGCTACTAGAACAGTGAGTGAGTTTGTAAGGTCACAGGATACAAAATCAATAAACAAATATTAACTACTTCTCTATCGCAGAAACTGAAATTTACAAAATGGTAGCTTTTATAACAGAATCAAAAAATCATGAATTACGTATAAATCTAACAAAATATCTGTAAGATTCGCATGCTAAAATTTACTAAACAGATGAAAGAAATCGAAGAACTGAGTAAATGGAGAGATAAACCATATTTATAGATTGGAAACAACATTGTGAAGATGTCAATTTGATCTATAAAATAATGCAATTCCAATCAAAATCCTGATTTTTGTAGAAATTGATTTCAATTCTAAAATTTACATGGACAGTCAAAAGAACCAGAAAAATGTTTCAAAAACCCTTTTGAAAAGGTATGAAATTGGAGTACTCACACTGTCTGATTTCAAGAGTTCCAATAAAGCTACAATAATAAGATAATGTGGTATGGACAGAGAACACATACATAAACCAATGGAACAGAACACAGTCAGAAATACACCCACACATATAAGGTCACCTGATTTTCAACAAAAATGGAGAAAAGATAATCTTTTCAAAAAACAATGCTGGAACATCCATAAGTATGAAAAAGAAAAACTCAACCCATACTTTACATCATATACAAAGATTAACTCTAAATAGATTATAGAACTAAATGTAAAATCAGAAACTATAAAACATCTAGAAGAAAACACAGAAAAAATCCTATGATCGTGGGTTAGACAAAGGTTTCTTGGCTATAATACCAAAAACAAGATCCATAAAGAGCAGTACCAATGAACTAGACTCTCAAAATTTAAAACTTCTGGTCTTTAAAAGACACTGTTAGAAAATGAAAAGACAAGGAGGCACAGACTGGATGACTGTACTGGCATAACATATGTAACATGAAAAATACTACAGAGAAACTAAAAACCACTTTGGTAGTTTTTATACAGTTAACATATGTTTACCATATGCCCCAAAATCCCACTCCTAGTATTTACCAGGAGAAATGAAAATGTTCACATAAAAACCTACACATAAATATAGAAAACCCCAAAGAAGCTGAACAAAGTCATGCTTTTAAAAATATCTTCTAACAAATGTCTTTCTCAGTGTATCCAAGTCTAAACCAAGCTCAAATTTTAATATTATCTATAATGATATAATTCTTTTATTATTGAGCACTTAGTAAATACCATGCATTGTGCTAAATGCCTTTTGTAGATTATCTCATTTAGTTTTCAAACTCTGTACACATAATATTTAAAACTTGCTTTCTTTTTTCCTTATTTCTTATACAGTTAATTAAATACTATTTTAAAGCACTGTGACATAAAAAGTTCTCCAAATTGAACTTAAATCCACCTGGAGACTGTTTCAGGATATGCGGGAACTTGCCAATAGGCACAGCATGGAAACAAGACACTAAAGAAAAAGAAAAGAATGTTTGAAATGAGTTTATACCTGGAGTCTCCACAACATGGACAATGGCCTCGTTGTTTCCATTCACTGAATATGTGAAATAGAACCAGCAGTCATCCACGTCCTTCTCCTTACAATGAGACAGCGGATCAACCTGACCTGGCTGGGGTAATTTGTCCCGATTTTCTACCTTAGTGATGTTGAAATGTGAACATTCCTGTGCACATGTGTCTTTCTTTTCTCCTTTATTGAAGGCTCTACACTGAACGCATTCTCTGTTAAAATACAAATTATTTGCAATTAAAGTAGACTCAGATTTTTTTATATTTTAAATAAATATTTGCTTAAAGATTATTTCTTATGCTTGATTCATATGACCAAATTGAACCAAGAGCTAAGAAAGAAAATTACAATAAATGGAGTGACATACTACATTTTTGGATGAGAAAACAAAGTATAAAGATGCTAGTTTCCCAAATGAAACTATAGATTTCATAAATCCCAATAAAGGAATAAGAGTAGCTAAAGTTTTTTTTTTTTTTTTTTTAAAAAGACACTAGTAATAAAATGAAACTAGCCTTATCAAATATTAAACACATAATAAAGTCGTAATAATTAAAACAGTATGGTACCAGTACAAAAATAATTTCTCAAAGGCAAAAACCTCCAATTTTGTTTAGTTTGGTCAAAAGATAGTGATTAAGCAACTGATAATGCCAATTTAACAAAGGTTAAAAAAAGGAATTCAATTATATAGCAAATTCAAATGAAAATAATGCTACAACTCTTGTACTTCCATATCACGTAACACACACTAGCTACTGAGAAGGAATTTTTAATAATTAAAGAGTGAGTATCAGAGGGGAAAATATTTAGTTATAGTGACCTTTACTAGCACTGTTCTGATTTTAGTGATAATATATATTCCACTCTCCAGAGAATAAAAATCACTTATTTCAAAAATTCAGAAAAACTTACTTATGTTCGGCACAGACACCAAGGCAAGTCTGACACATCTCACAGGTTGGCCCTTGAAATTTGGGATCTGTACATTTACAGGCACCACACTCACAGATACCCCGTCCGTTGCAGATTTGCCCATTTGTGGCCATGCATGAAGTAGTATCCAAAGAACAGTCACATGCACTGCCAGTGTAGTTGGGGTTGCATTCACATACACGACACTTGCAAACACCGTTTCCTACAATTAAAAGAATCATTTATCATAACAATGATAAAAATATAAAATCATAGCATTGATTTAGAATTAAAAGTAGTAACATGGAAGAAAACTTATCTAAAGGATAATTGACCTGCAATGCTGCCCTCCCCTTTTTTTCTATTTATTCATCATGTAAACTCTTAACATACATTAGATGGGATCACATTTTTATAAGCATTTTCAGACTCTTTTCTCACCTCCACAAATTAAGCCATTGGATCTGTCACAGTTGAAATTATCACACTCACAGAATTTGCCAGAATAAATTTCGTTTGTATTATCCCTCTTCCTACAGACACACTGTCCACAGACGCACTCTCCATTGTTACTACAGATTTCTGAACTGTTCTCTTTCCTGCAGTAAGCATCCATGTCTTCACTATTAACTTCATCTGTGCTGCATTCACAATGTCTACCAACACGTCCCTCGTTGCACCTAAAGAAACATTCCAAAATTTCACTCACATAAAATAAAAATAATCTAAAACAGTAAGTCATACTATCAGAAAGACTGGGGAAGATAACCCACTATGAATATCTCTTCAAACTACACGTTTTACTTATACCACCTACGTCCCAGACAAGGAGCTCTGGTAGCATAGTGCCTAAGGCATTTGACTGCTAACCAGAAGGCTAGTGGTTCAAACCCGCCAGCCACTCCTTGGAAGGCAGATGGGGCAATCCACTTCTGTAGTGATACTGCCTCGGAAACCCAAGGAGGGGTTGCTATGAGTTGGGTCCGACTCAACAGCACATAACAACAACAACATGTCACAGACAAGTACAAAAATGTGTATGTGCACAGAGAAACCAGCCTAGTTCATACCGAATATATGCAAGGCCCTAGGGGAAAAAAAAATCTTTCTTCTGTGAAGTAATCACTTTGATCAAGATGAAAATATACTCCAGCAATAGACAGGTGAACAAAGCATTTGGAAACACAGGATAAACTTATTTTTAAACAGTGTGTTAATTTTATTTTCAAATGACATGGTAATATATTTTACTTTAACCTCCAGATACACAGATGAAGTATCTCCAAATTTACAGCAATGATCCAATTGTTAAACTGAGAAACCATATGGAGATATTTTAGGCACACCTAGGAGCTCTGGTGGTAGCATAGTGGCTAAGGCACTTGACTGCTAACCAGAAGGCTGGCGGTTCAAACCCACCAGCCACTCCTCGGAAGGAAGGTTGGGCAATC